GGAATAATAGATGTTATGGGATTAAATACTTGATTGTATAATTGTATAATGTTATTATTCCTGAGTTAATGAAATTACTTACAAACTATTATAATAAACCCTGGACTTGGAATAATAATTAACCTGAATAGTTGGAAATAATATTCAAAGTTGATAAAATGAAAAGATGATTAATGGACAAATATGAATACTAAGGATGATGATGAACTTGGAAAGATATTGAAATAAAATGAATGAAAGGTCTGATTCCCTTTTTAAAATAATTGAATCAGTGGTGCCTTCTAAAATAAAAAAAACAACAGTCTTACCTTTGGAAAAAGACTATAAACTCCTTAAAAGAACCATTAAGTCACACCCATAGGTGGTTCTTGAGGAAACCAAGGACCACTGGTGACAACGTCCCACGATAACATCCCCATCCCATAAATAGATAGATTTTTCTTCATATATCATATAATTTTTCCTGTATTTTTATCATCATATATTTATTAATAAAGATTTTTCGTTAGAGGAACGTACAACGTATCATGTGTTATTTTTTGTAATCAATAATTTTTCCGGAATAATTTCCTTGGCAAAAGTGATCGGCGTGACATTTTTATTATGCAGTGAAGTGTGACCGGTTATACATTTTTTCTCGTGGGACCAGATTCGGTAAAATTATTGCCGTGGATATTCGAAGTATTTGATATTGTGACGCACCAAATATATTTTAAATCACGATTTGTAGCAACAGGTCACGTACTAGTACAAAAATGCTTAGCTTCTTTTTTTAGATCTTTCCCATTGAAAATATTCCATCTATGGAATTTCATGTTTCCCAGGCATTCCAAATTCAATTGCTCATATAAATTGTCATAAATATGGAGGATCAGGGAGTTGTCATGTTAGGTTCCAATTTTGAGCCTTATACCAAGAATCGTAAATATTATTTTTTTTTATCTGGTAATTTTAGCCTCATACTTCACGAATTAAAAATTTTTTTTTTTAATATATAGTCAATAATGCCAGAGTTGCTTTTGGTGCAAGTGTTATTGTTGGAGACGATAACTTTCAAAATATTATAAGCAGTCGTCTCACTTTTGTTGATAAATCAATGCTCGTAAAAGAGTTTATTGAGAGTTCGGATTTTGTATCACTTATTCTTCGTCCTCGCAGATTTGGCAAGTCGACAAATTTATCCATGTTAAAACACTTTTTTAAAATACCGTATTCTCAAGAAGAAAATGATGTCAGCGGGAGACTTTTTGAAAACCTGAAAATTTCAGCTGAAAAAGAAATTATGCAAAAACATTTTATGCAATATCCTACCATTCATATCTCTCTTAAGGTTTTGTCATCGTTAAATTTTATTTATTGCAATTTTCTATCCTTTTTTTGCTTACAGTATATCACAAATAGGATCTAAACACTGGAACATGGGATAAAATGATAGCAAAATTAAAAATACTTGTAGCTAATATTTACGGTGAACACGACTATCTTATTAACAATTTACGTCCTTATGAACAAAAGGTATATCAACAAATTCTCAGCAGAACCTGTGATGAATCTGAATTGGAGTTTTCTTTGAGGGAACTTTCCATGTATTTGCGACGACACTATAAAAAAAAATGTATTGTATTGATTGATGAATACGATTCCCCAATGGAACGTGCTTATAATAAAGGATATTACGAAGTTGCAAATGATTTTTTTAAAGGCATGTTCTCGTCATTACTGAAGGTAAGACATATTTGTAACTTTTTATTATAATCTGATCAAAAATTCATATCTATTTCTGATTGAATATTAGAGCAATTCCGAAAATGTTGCAAAAGCTATGTTGGTCGGTGTATTACGGATCGCAAAATCGGGGTTCTTGTCTGGGCTTAATAATATTACGATTTACCCTTTCCATAAAGAACGTCGATCGCCTATTTATTTAGACAAGTTTGGATTCACATCTGATGAGGTAGAATTATTGTTGCCATTGTGCGAAGATTTGAAAATTAATGATGTTCAGAAGTGGTATGATGGCTATATCGCGGGAGGCACTATCCATTTATATAATCCGTGGTCCATTATTGGACTACTTTCAGATGGTATCTTGAAGACTTATTGGACAGATACAGGAAGTACTCAAACATTGGAAAAATGCCTATGGAAAGCAAGCTCTTCATTTAAGGAATCCGTTGAAAAATTGTTAAAAGGTGAAAATATAACTAATGTGAAGATTCAGGATGATCTTCGATATTCACATTTGGATCAATACCAAGATTTGGCTATTTGGACACTTTTGTACTATGCAGGATACCTCACTATGAATTCTGAGAAACATCTTGTTATTCCAAATGAAGAGATTCGTTCAGAATGGCATAAATGGGTGATCAATGTACCGTTTTTTACTCAAGGGCAAACTATCACATCAATGTTAGACAATCTTTTACATGGAAATTTGGATTTATTTAGTAAAGAATTTGAAAATATGATTGTAGATACGCTTTCGTATTATGAGGTCGGGGGGTCTAAATCTGGAAAAAAAGCAGAATATGTTTATCATGCCTTTTGCTTAGGAATGTTCGCTAATGCTCGTGATCGAGGGTTTATTGTTCGTTCTAATCGTGAGGATGGCTTTGGGAGATATGATGTAAAAATAGTTCCAAAATCAGGTGTTGATGAGACGGCTATTATTATAGAATTTAAAGTTGTTCATGATGAAAAAAGTTTACACGATACGGCCCAAGAAGGATTACTTCAAATCGAAGAGAAGCGATATCGAGTAGGCCTAGAAGAAAATGTCAAAAAACTTTTGGAAATAGGAATTGCATTCGAAGGGAAAAAAGCTTGTGTATTAGGGCATTTATTGCATAGAACAGATGAAGGTACATGGAACAAGGATTTGATTTCAGATTAACGTAATATCATTTGTTTATCAAAGATAGTAATAAATTTGGTCTATAAGTATATACATCCAAAAAAAATTTTTCAGCAACGACATCAGCATCAATTACTGCATAGTTTAAATTTTCAGAAACGTGAACCGTTATTGTCCGAAGCAAGAAGTTTCAACTATTTTTGTTTATTTGTATAACCTATATAATTATTTATCCTGTATCAATAAAGGCCCTGGTGGGTGATTTCATATAATTAATCGTGTTTAGTTTTGCATGTGTATTTCTGGATTTATTTTTCCGATGTATATGATCTCATATATCTCTGATCGTTCCCTTGGGGAACGGTTTTGTATCATATGCCTTATTATATGTATAAGTTATATTAATAAACAAGCTTTTGAACAATCCGCATGTTAGAAAAAAAACTAACGAAAAACATTTTTCAAGACGTGTCCAGTAAAATTCCTTTTCCGATCACTAGTGATAAAGTTATATAAATTAATACTAATCATGCAAACTCAAAGAATGATTTATCCGAAGTTGATTCATTAAAACTGGAAAATACTAGGCTTATGGCTAGAATCGCAGAATTAGAACAAATAGTAAAAGAAAAAAGTACGCTTGAAGCTGAGCTAAAACAAATCATAGAAGAAAATGCAGAGAAAACGAAGTTAAGAGATGCTGAACTCAATGCTAGAATAACGAAACTAGAGCGATCAGCAAAATTGGAGCAGAAACAAAACAATAGATTAGAAAATGGCGATAATTCATCTGAAAATCATGTCTGCGGAGCAGGGCGCTTTGCGCCTAATATGCACGACCCTGTTATAAACCAATGTATTGATACTAACTCCAAATCATTAGAGGATAATACTCTTGAACAGACAGAAAATAGTACCGATGATACATCTAATGATGTGGAGCATCGAAGCTCTGGTTCTTCTGATATATGCCAAGAAAAGGGTAACCAATGTTCTGCATCTAATATATCTAATAATACTTCAAATTTTGATGTATATTTGTCACAAGGAACGAATGCAAAGCCTAATTCATTAGATGACTCACGGAGTAAGGATTCTATCGCATCTAAGGAAATGGATAATTTTCTGAATCGGGTGTATAAAGAAAATATTAGTAATGAAATAAGAGAAAGAAATCGAGAAAGAAAGCTTCAACAAGAAGAGTCAAAGACTCGTTGCAAAACATCCTCAGCTATTCAGGACCTACAGTATCAGAAACCATTCTTTCAAAAAACGATCAAGATGGAAATTTATGTGATATGAAAACCGTTCCCTTGGGGAATGATCGAGATGTAAATTTATCATGTGGTACAAAGACTATTAGTTCGGAAAACGATCAAACTGAAATATCTGAATTGGAGCAAGATATCGAGTGTGATAAAAATGAAATCGTAAAGCAGGGTTTAATAGAAGAATTGCATTTAACTACTGATAAGCAAAGCCTTATTGATTCTGCGATAGATAATACCGACTCTACTGAGAATAAAGGCAAGTCTCATGGAATGAGGATGCTATTGCATCCGGAAACTCGAAACTCTGCTTCTTCAGCTCAACATCTATCTTATTTATTTAAAACAGCAATCAAATCTCGTCGACAAGAAATCTTAAACTGGTATTGTTATTCTCTTGAATTCAAAAACAGTGTACATACTATTACAACAGATGGTAAGATCAAAGATAAAACAGCAAGAACGATAATTTATAAAGAAATAAAACCATTTCTTTCTAATATTACTCAAGATAACTTGTGTAAAAAAACTCTTAGAGCTAGAAAACTTCTTATGCTATTTGGAGAAAATGGAGTTGGAATAGATAAAATTAAGCTAACTACATATAGTACAAATGAGATTTCAAAATTGACTAATGTGCAAATTCAGAATATTATAGATCAGGTGAATTCAAAAACCATTCTCCAAGGGAATAATCAAACCAAGAAAACTTTGCCTAAAACAGAGGTGAGTACTATAACCACTCTCTCTATCCCATTGTCCCATACCTCTAGCCACTCCAGCAATTCAGAATATAAAATAATTGAGGAAGTTAAATCTTTATCAGAAATTGAGACCAAGGTAAGTTTATCTACGGAATCTCATATTTCCAATTCATCTAGTTCGAAGCCATCCCAAAAAAATAATCCCAAAATCTGTCACAAAGTGTCCTGCTCCGCAGAGATAGATGCATCATCCAATTCAACTCATGACCATGCTTATTTTTGTAATAAGATACTATGGCAATATTCTGATCTATATAAAACATTTATTACTGAAAAATTTGATTACTATGATATTATTGAGAGATCATTATGTCCAGTATGTAAATTAAATCATGAAGATGGGAGGGGTGTAATAGGTAGATATGAAGCTGGATCCTATTTTATTATATGTGGAAAGCGTGAAATCGAGATAATAGCATAAATAATAAAGTTATACTGCCTTCAAAATTCTCTGGTTTCAAATGATCATAAATCAATTAACTATATTTATTTTTTTAATTGTTATTTCAGAATATATACAGAGTGTCAAAAGCATCCTTAGTATATTCATACTTAATTTGAATTTGCAATCATATAAAACAATAACATGGATAAAGTCCTAACCCCTGAATATTTGAACTGGCATACTAAATTGGTTAATTTACCAAGTCGATTGACAGATAAAATTCATTTGAGCTTATATAGGATGTATACAGAAGAGACTAGACTCGATCCCTGAATAAACTCTGAAACTTTTAAATTTTCACAAATCAAAAAGGATACTAAGGAAAAAACTTTATTTGTACCACAGGTAAATGTTCAATCTACACCATCAAAATGACAATTTCCAATTTCTGTTTTACCTAAAGACCCGGAAGAAAGGCAACAACACATTATTAATATGGTATTAGAGTGATTTCCTTATTTAACTCTGAAACATAACTTTAGAAATGATTATTTTGATTTTAATAGATCAGTACCCTGCCCTTTATGTAATAAAAATCATAAAAAAGAGAATATAAGAAATCATATAGAGAATTTTTGGGGTAGCAGTAAATATTGTGGTGAAAAAGCTTATCGTCTCTATTGCTATACAAACAAATATCAGAATTCAATTCACATAGTAAGTACAAAAGCATAAGGTATAACAAGCATAAATTATTTTCCTATGATCACATGGGTTGCTCCCTTGAAGCTCTATGTCACATGCATAAATCATAGTCACACTCAATTATTAACACTTGCAAAATCACGAATTAAAAATAACAAATAATTGATAACTTTATTAATAATAATTGTATATTTCAACATTATTTTTTTATGCTACATTACAATGTAAAAGGCCGGCCTTATAGAATTATTTGTGAAGTAGAGGGCAAAGAGGAAGAAATAAGCTAGAATCCTAGGCCCTTTACAATGTAAAAATGGCTGTTCCTTCCTCTACTCCATATTAATAGCTAAGTTATTTTTACTATCTATTCAAGAACCTATTTTTTTTAATGTTCCACCTCGCAAATCACTATTATTGTAATAAAATTTTTTTACCATCTCTTTACTAATATTTTCCACCTCAAGACTACGAATTTCAACAGATACTGTATTACACATATCATCTAAAAAATAATTATTTTCTGTCATAATCCTATTAAAAATAATTTTGAATTTGTTCCAGGTTGTTGAGATAATATTGGAAAATGATAATTGACTTGAACTACTGAAAGAAGCATGAGAAGATCTTTGTGAAGAATTGGATATATATTCAGGTGGAGTATTAAATTGTTCAGATCTTAATGTGACTATGGAACCTATTTCAGTTAAATAGTTCAACTGATCATGAAGAGATTCATAATTGGTGGTAATTTCATTAATAGTTTCAATCACAGTATTTATTATCACCATAATTCTCTGCCCTTCGATAATAAATAAGACATCTCATGATGTAAGATCTATAGTTATTTTTTCCACACGTGTATTAAGATCCGTGGTAATTTGTTGTTTAATGATATATATAGAAAAACACATGTTAGCTAAAATCAGATGAGTAGGGATCTTTTCAGCAAATATCATTATGGACATAAAGATCAAAAAAAATGCAATTTCTGAAATGTTGATCGAAGACATCTACATGAAAAAAATCCGATTAGTCAGTAATTAAGTATGAAGTGCATGGGCATTTAATTACAAACGAAGATACCTTATTTCGATTAAAGCTATATAGATTAATTTTTGTTATGAATTCGATAGTTTTATTTGAAGACAACTACAAAATTTTATGAATTAATTGTATTGTTTCGTTTTATTGATTTAGCACCTTGTGCTTGCTCTGCTAAATTTGTAGATGAATTGAATAACGAAAAAAAAAATCTTTTATAGGGGATTCATAGATCATCATTTATTACAACTAAATACTGGAAGTTATCAGAACAATTTCAATATTATCAATTAACATTTGATATAAGTAAAAACTGGAAGCTACGAGAAACAATTTTGATTTAATTTGATCGTAATCATAGTCATATAAATACAAACTTTTTTGATAATAAAGAACGAGTTTTAGTACCTTGTGCTTGCTTCGCTAAATATGATTAATTACAACTTTATTTATAGTTTGAAATTGTCAACACCATACATTTGTGATTAATTATATCAAAAGAATTTTTTTCTATCAATTTATCTGAAATAATATCCATTCTGCATTCGCTTCTTTCATTTTTAATCTGTACACAATTAACTTTAATCAACTAGTACTATGTTATTCTCTCATGATAGACTTTGTATGACACGTTAGGTTATACAAAAATATTTCTTATCATCCATACTGGTGCATTATAAATGTATATCTTTTATAGGTATGTATCAATCATCATTTATTTCATGTAATAATAACAATAAAATTATTTTACAAATTAAGAATGAACGTTGTTACCATGGGTTTCCTCCACTTTCATAATTTCCTATTATTTTATTTTATTGTATTCTTATTTGTATTTATTTTAA